CATAGAGCCGGAGTTGCCCCTGGGCATGCGATGGCTCCACACGGCCATGCTGCAGTTTCTGCAGGCTGCATTCCTGGTCCTGCATGAGCTTGACTCAGAGCTCATTCTGGAGACCCTCTCCCTGTGTGCACACTACAATAGAGAGGTGTTTTGGGAGGCTGGACACCAGTTCTGACTTGTAGGACTACCTGGTCATGGAGCAGTGGGACAATCCACAGTGGCTCCAAAACTTCCACACGCAGAAGGCCACCTTTGCTTGACTCAGAGCTCATTCTGGAGACCCTCTCCCTGTGTGCACACTACAATAGAGAGGTGTTTTGGGAGGCTGGACACCAGTTCTGACTTGTAGGACTACCTGGTCATGGAGCAGTGGGACAATCCACAGTGGCTCCAAAACTTCCACACGCAGAAGGCCACCTTTTAGGAGCTGTGTGCCTGGCTCACCCCTGCCTTCCGGAGATGTGACAGCCACCTGAGGCCTGCCATTCCCCTAGAGAAGCGGGTCACAATCGCTGCCTGGAAGCTCGCCACCCCATACAGTATATCAACCAGAAGGACTACTTCTCGATGGTGCTGCAGGCCCTGGTCGACCACCATGGATAATTCACTGACATTTTTGTCAGGTGGTCGGGCAGGGCACATGACACCCATGTATTTCACAACTCCAGCCTCTACAGGAAGCTGAAGGTGGGCACATTCTTCCCCCAGCGTGACTTTGCGGTTGGGGACGTGCAAATGCCATTGTGCATCGTGGGAGACGCGGCTTATCCCCTGCTGCTGGGGCTTATGAAGACTTATACTGGCCACTTGGACCCCAGCAGGGACCAATTTAATGCCCATCTGAACCGAGCCCAGGATTCAGGTCAAGTGCACCTTCGGTCGCCTCACGGCACATGTCAGGTGCCTCCTGTCCCACCTGGATGTGGGGGAACACATCATCCCTGAGGTGGTATTGGCATCTTGTGTCCTCCATAACATTGTGGAGAGGAAGGGGGAGGCCTTCCTCCCGGGATGGGGGGCGGGGACCAGCCATGAGGGGAGACCTTTCGAGCAGCCACAGACAGCTGGGTGTGCATCCAGGAGACCCTGAGGGAGAGTTTCTCTCCAAGACCCCAGTAACTCTCCCCAGAGCCTCCCCACTAGGGGCCTCCTGCTTACTCCACTATCTCTTTCCCACTACAACACCTCTCTTCGCCCCTTTCCTGACCTCTCAATAAACACAACTGTTTTGATTTCAACACAATAAACTTTGTATTTGTCTTTCAAAAAATAAAACTAGGAGGGGAACTCCTAACCTGGAGGGAGAGGGAGACTCCTAACCTGGAGAGGGACTCAGGGCTGAGAGTGTCCTGGGGGGCAGTTGGATGTCCCACCTTGGGTGCAGGGACCTTGTCAAAGTTGGGGTTGGGTGGGTCCTGGGATCACAGGGGTTTGGAGTCAGGTCAGGGATGGCAGGGGGAGGGGCATGGGCATCACTTGGGGATGGGGCATGGGCATTGCTTAGGGAGGGAGCAGAGGCATCACTTGGGGGGCAGGGGAGGGAGAATGGGTATAGCAGGGAGGGCAGGAGGGTGGTAGGCAGGAGCAATGACATCATGTTGTGCATGATGGCACATATGTTATCGCCCTGCCACACAAACTGGTCCCACATGCATGTCCACCAATCTGCGTTTTCCCAGATCTTCTGCATCAGGGGCTGTTGCATGTTGCTCAGGATGCCCACATGCTGCCTCATCAGCTCCTCGTGGCCCAGGGAGTGCTTTCAATTTTTTTCGAAAGAACACAATTGCAGTGTGGACGTAAATGAAGAGTTTTTGGGAAAATGGCCATTTTTCTGAAAAAATCCTTTGTAGTGTAGACAGAGCCTTAGAGAGAGAGAAAAATGAGTTTCCTGTGCAGCCTTAGCTGAGAGCCAGCTGGCTTTTAGCTCAAGCTCTAGAGGCTCATGTACTGGTCCCAGATCCCTGTCAGTCTTACATATGCATAACTTGAATATGCTTATGCAAAACAGGTCAAGTCACCTATCATCCAAGAGCCCGTGATCCCCTGAATGTGTATATTCTGTTAGTTTGCATCCATCATTCCTGTATGTGACATTAGAAATATGAAGTTTAAAACTGCTTGTTAAACAGCTTAAAAGCTGATCTAAAGCTGGATCTACAGTAAGCATCACACCATCTATAGTGTTCTCAGTATTGACCACAAAGATTCAAATGGGGTTTGAGGTCAATAGAAACATTTCCATTGACTTCTTTGAGCTTTAGATCAGATCTAAAGAGTCTTGGAGTGAAGTTAATAAGAAACCAGCAAGAAGTCACTGGGAAGGTAACATTCTTTTTGTATTTTTCTTTACAGTGAATCGATTTTCTCTGCATTTCTCTCTCATCCTTGACAGTTGAGACTTCCCAAATCCAACCAACTGACGAATACACCTATACTGTGGATGAGGGTGCATCTCAAAAACATCTGCGCTTGTGAAGCATGCATGCGGTTTAACACTTTCCTTTTTAATGTAAGACTGGCCAGCCACGCCAAGAAATATCCAGAGAACTCAGATGTCCAGAAATGGGCCAAGCTACAACCCTTTAGCTCAGGGGTGGGGAACCTCAGGCCCGGGGCCCACATGTGGACCCCAGCTTGCCTGGATCCAGCCTCTGATGTTCAGGGTCCTCCCCAGCATTGAGAAGCCTGCACTGGCACTTCAGCCCCCTTGCTGCCCTGTTGGAGCACACAAAATCTACTAGGCTTGGCCCCCCAGGCTCTGGTGTGCGAGGCGAATGTGGGGAGAGTCTTTCTCCTTCTCAGTAGAGGGCCACATCAGACAGGTTTTTTTTTCTGCTTCTCACTTTGTGCGGCCGCCAATTAATTTGTCTGTGGCCCCAGACCCAAAAAAGGTTCCCCTCCGCTGTAGCTGAATTTAACAGAACATTGTTGAATAAAATAGGGTTAAAACCCAAACCACTCTTGGTTTTAATTTTCACCCACAGAATGAGTTGGGTGAAATCTGGAACTGTTTAGTTGGACCTACCCATCATTCTTAAACTTAGAAAGGGTTCACATGAAGTAAGATGTGGATGAGATCATTTCCGCTCTTGGTCTTGCAAATCCATACACTAGATAATGAGATTTTGCAAATGGAAGATCCACCTCCAAGAGGACTGTCATGGTTGTCTGCAAGTGGCATAACTTTGTAGAACTGACAGGCTTTGACAAGTGGCTTTCCCTTTGAAATGTGGTTACTTATGAGAACGTTGTATCAGAGCAGCTGTTCAGCACCAAGGCTGTTCCAAGAAAGGATGAGCAGGGGATAAGCAGGGGACCTTGTTAAAGTGATGGGGTAGAAATGTCCCTATAAAACAGGGCTACTCACGTCCCTATAAAACAGGGCTACTCAATTTTGGAAGCCCTGGGGCGACAATGATACTCACAGCACATGCTGAGGGCTACAACTTAAGTGTGGCTGCATATATATGCAAATATATACAAATAGATTATTTCACACTGATGGCAGAAATACAAAGATTAAGGCAAGACTACACAACACGCCATTTAAGTCAGTTCTGCTGATAATAATACAATGCAATATTTACCAGATTTCCACCCATATGACAGCACTTTTAATGAGCAATGACAGTGCAGGAATTTAACTACTAAAATGCATATCAACAGAAGACCGTTATATTGACTACTTTTTTGTTTTCGCTCCCACCTGCAGGCTGCACGCTGAGCTCTGTGTAAACCCAAATCGCACCACAGGCTGCAAACAAACGGGCTGCAGGCCCCACCGTTCCCCTGAAAATTCTTTGCTTCTAAAATAGTATTTTCCCATCAGCTCCCAGACAGCCATGGGGGCAAGGCTGGCTTCAAATGGTTTTATTTCAACACTTGTTTAAATCCCTAGAGCTATTTGAGATCATCCAAATAGACAAAATAGCCTGAAGGAGTGAAGGTTTAAGGACTAACCTTTAACAGCCTCTTATGTGGGATCTGATGCTTAATGAAGCATGGATGGAGAGTTCCAACTTCACAAAGTCCTTAGAATGTTACCTTACAGTTATACCCTTTACATTCTAATGTCTCTCTCACACTCTGGCATAGATACAAAAAGCTGTCTCATAAAATGTATTTCAGTTGTCTACAACACTATGTTCAAGTAATACAAATTAGAACTCTAATCTGGTAATATTTAACCCCAAGTAAAAAAAACCAACATCCACAAATCCTGAAGTCTCACATTTTTTTCAGAAACTGCACAATGGAAATATATAAACTGAGGGTGCAAACATACATAAATATGTGCAAACTGGCTGATTCCCCCACTACAGCCCAAACAATAATGAGACAGAAGAGCATACTGTGTATTTCAGTTTGCTGCAGCTTCCCTGCAGTGGTTAGACTTACTTCCTTTCATTTTGAGAGATATTGCGGGTTCCTGTATTATTTTTCATTTTAACTATAGAGTATATGGATAATTTTTGTTCAAAAACAGCTAAGCAATGTGGAGCTTAAATAACATTTCCAAAAGTAACTCAGACACTCAGAATCCTACATCCCATTGACCTCTAATGAGACTGATGCTTCTGAGCGCCTAAAGTCACTTTGTAAAATAGGACTTAGGTGCTTTTGAAAGTTTTGATCCTAAATCCAAAGCCACTGAATCTTTCAAAAAGGAAAAGACCTTGTAAAATGTAAACAACATATATCCAATCCAGCCATAAATAGTTTAGAAAGCTCTTTGGTATGGCAAACCTTATTACAAGAGATGTATTCAGGCTCCTCTGTCTTGATGCACGTTTTTAACAGCTGTAGTCAATTTTTGTTGAATCCCAGCAGCCCTACAGCCCTACATGAATGCCAGGTAACAATCTTTCTGCAGCTGTACTGGGCCTATTAACGGCATCCAACAATTGACTGTGTGATTGGTCTACATTAGTCTACCATCAGCTATTTATACTGAATGATGGAGCCATTCATGTTATTAAAAAAAATAACCATCATACCTGGAAGAAACAGGCCAGGCTTCCCTAAGGAATGATCCAGCCTGAAAAGAAAACAGAATCATTTTAGTTTGCCAGCAGCAGAATTATCAAACAACTTATTGTCTGCGGCTTGGAATAGTACACATGCATATTTTACATGCAAAAGTACAGTAGGTTTAAACCAACAGCAAGGCAAGTGAGAATGCTGGTCTTGCATGACTTTCTGGATTTACATACAGTCAGCAGTCTGGCCCCTCAAGCAAAGTTATTTGTTGGGATAAAGCTGCATTGTTACTGTGGTTTCCATAGACGCTGATATTTTACTTATTTCTTCTGTTTTCTTTTTATAGCTAAAATAACTTAGACCCATATTGTAGTGAATCCAGAAACTATGAATATCCAAATACAATGCCTTAATGATATTTGTTTCTCACTCACACAGAGACAGATTTTTTAAAAATCATTTTATTTTGAAAAAGTGAACCCAGTCTTGCTCCGTAGGAATTCTGCCTATGGAAGATCTGGCTCTGGTGTCCTTAATTACTCGTGAGTGCTCTACAAAGACAAAAAAAGCCAGTCTCATGCTGAAATCCAGAAATACATTTTTAAGGCAAAATTTCATATAACTGATTCAACAGTTGAGAATGTATGTGAAAGAAAAAAAAGCAAGAGAGGGGGGTGATTGTGGGAGACGAGGGGGGAAGAAGAGTTTCAGATATATAGGCAAGCACAAATGAAATAATGACTTCTCCTAGCTATTGCAAGTCACACAGAGGAGATAGAAAGGAAAGTTGTTACTGCAAGAATTTTTTTCTTTTGTGAGAACTAGTCTGAAATGCCCGGCCTACGTCCTAAATTTCATAGTACTTACCTCAATGTCTTTCCTTCCTTTTTTGATGTTTTGGGTAGGGCTTTGATATTATTTTTGAACTTTGGTCATCAATGGGTTAAAAACACATTATGTCAACCTTGCTGATATCATACTTCCATCTTGCAATTTTTGACAATTGATGCTCATTAAATACACACGTCTTTTAAAGCCAGCCGGCACCAGAGAAATCAAATATCTCATTAGAGAGACAGGACATACCTTCTTTGAAGTTCTTTTATGCGAACCATCATATTAAGGTGTCCTTGAGAGTATTGTTCAATTACATCACGTACATCATATGGTTTTCGAGCTTGCTGTGAAAGGAATAATATGAAAGACATGTAATTACCTTTGTTTTACAGCATTCATTTATATTAATTGGATCATCATTGTTGACCCACTAGAATTCTTCTTGTTATTTTGGAAAGGTCTCTGTAATAACTGAAACATATGATATTCCTGGAAATTATAGGAGTGCATATGAAGCATAAGAACATAGTTGAGCGATAGCCATTCCTGTAAATAAGAGGCACACAGTCACATGCTGAGCAAAATATATTTTAAGCACAGAATACATTTTAAGTACAGAAAGAGTATAAAATGTAAAGGAGGTTACACGTGACTTTCTTCAGCCATATAGATGTCATTCTGTCAGTCCTCAACAGTAGAGAGAATCCCAATTCATGAAGTTTGGATCCACATTTAAAGTCTTCCAAACTTTGTAATGAAATGAGTGTAGTGAAAGGGTTTTGGTCTAGATCATTGGTGAGACAGGTGATTCCTCAAAACTTGACTATTTGGATTTGAGACTGGCTTGGGCCCATATCTACCCAACAGTTCTAGGTGCAAAAAGGAACTAAGGCTAAAATAGAAGTGAAGATAAATGGGCAAAAAGGCTTAAAAAGGAAAAAGTCAGAGAAACCCTGGAGTTTTAGCCTGAGTCCAGCTCTGCTACTAACAGCAAATTGATGAATATGGATGGTGAGACAGAGTATAAAAATAAGCTTGGATAATTTGCATAAAATTCTGTGATTATAAAAGGTGCAGATGGACAAATCAGGGGAGGGAAGAGCTGATCTGCTTTTGAAAATATAAGCATTTTTAGAGCTATCAACCCAGTAGGAAATATGGGGCAAGATGTCCCTGTTTTGGCTTTGGATCAAGAAAAAAAAAGGTACACAGCAAATCTAGTAATTGAAAATAACTGAAAACAGCTCATTAGTCATCTTGTTGTCTGTTTCCACTCTGCCACAGCTTCAGCCAGAGCCATTAGCATGCACCAGTGCACATATGCACAGAACACCTACAGTATGTGTTGGAGTCATGCTTGGAAGGCAGCCACATAGAAATTTCAAATAAAAAGCATGCAACTGGAGTGGAAACAAATCCCATAAAATGAAGAAGTAAAAACTGTTAATGACAAAATACCCTCCTCATGCTCCTCAGTCCGTCGTTACCTATAGCATTGCTTTCAAACACAGCTCAGAGTTTTGTTGTTGTGTGTAGGGGTGTGTGTGTTTGCATTTAAAGCTTTCAATTTATTGCCAATTTTCCCCCTGTTCACAGCTACATTTGCTGTAGACGCTGACACATCACTATTTCTGGCCAGAAAAGTGGGCCATTGTCTTTCCCCAGAGAAACAGTGCCAATATTACTCTTTAGATTGACTGGCAGGGGTGCTTTGAGTGCATTTTGGCTAACCCTCTCTCCCTTCTTTTGGACACTCTCTATTTAAAGATGATGCATGGCCCAGTGCCTAAATGTACTAGGCTTTTTGTGTTTATTTTTAAATATGGGTTACCATGGACATAATTAATTCTCCTCATTCCCAATACAATTCCACTTTCCCCCTTAAAACTCTCTTTATTCCTGCTACCAAACCATCAGCACTAAAGCCTTGCTTTGTAAAGTACTGTACATTGAATGCTGCATGAGCCCAGTCTAAAGTTGGGAAAGAATCACGATTCAAAAAAAAATCTTTCTACTTGTACTCTTTTTCTTTCATTTTCCCCAATAGCCCTCCTTAGATCTGAACATCTTATCCCCTTGCCAGCTTCTGGCACAATGTCCACAGACATGCCTCGACTAAACACACTCTATGGCCAAGTTCTTACTGAAAAAAACTACAATAAACAGTACCACTAGGGAAGGAAATAATGAAAACCCCCTGGGAAATCTGGCAAATGTAAAACTCCCTGAGCCCAAGTAATCAGGGTCAATCTTATGGGTGGGTGACAGGGTCAGGGGTGTGCCGTGGCGTAGAGGCAAGGAGTGGGGCAAGCCTGGGTCATGAGGCTGCAGAAGGGAGCTCAGGGCACTGGGGTGGGGAGGTGATGGGTGAGGCGATGGATGGGGGACAGCGGGTCAGGACGGATGGGTGGAAAGCCTGGGTAGGCAGCAGGGACCAGGAGAAATGGGGGGGGTATGGTGAGGAGGTAGTGGGTCAGGAGAGTCAATGTGCAAGTTTGCAGGGCACCATTTTCCCTAATGCTGGCCCTGCAAGCAATTCTCAAACTCCCCCATCCTGCACTCTCCCCCCCATAATTTAACCTTGATCCGGGCCATTTGAACTCAACATTCTAAATCAGGCGTGGGCAATAATTTTTGCCCAGGGCCACCCTGGAAGGGACGGGGCCTAAACGGGAAGGAGCAGGCCTACCCATCCCCAGACCATGATTGTCTGGGGCTGGGGGAGCCCCTTTGCTCCCCCTTCCTGGAAGACGCTTGGCATGCTCCCCTACCCCCAGGCCAATCAGGGCCCGGGGAGCATGGGAAGCCTTTTCCCACCCTACAAGGAGTATGTGGTGCTTTGAAGTACTGCGGGCTCCTCACAGGGCTTGGGCAGGGCTAAGGAAGCTTCAAAGGGCCACGTGCTCCTGCCAGGGTGGGAGGAGGCTTTGCGCACTCCCCCGCCCCCAGGCCAAGTAAGGCCTGGGGGTGAGGGAGCAGCAGGGTCTCCGCAGACCGGATCCACCCACTTGGCAGGCCGGATATGGCCCCCGGAGGTCCTTTTGCCCACTTCTGTTCTAAATCCATCTCAAATTCAATATCTTTTCATTAAAGACATTCAAGCGTATCTGAAACACATTATCTGTATCCCAATTCATCAAATCTACCTCAAACTCCCCTCTACTTTGGCTTCTGTTTCGCGACCACATGATCATCTGCATATCGATTTGCCAATCTCATCTAATACACAAAGGCTGTGTCTACACTGGGCCACTTATTCCGGAAAAGCGGCTGCTTTTCCGGAATAAGCTGCGAGCTGTCTACACTGGCCCCTTGAATTTCCGGAAAAGCAATGACGCTCTACTGTACAAAATCAGCTGCTATTCCGGAAACCGTACGCTGCTCCCGCTCGGGCATAAGTCCTTATTCCGGAAAAGCTTTTCCGGAAAAGGGCCAGTGTAGACAGCTTTTCCGGAAAAGCAGAAGAAACGGAAAAAAGCGGTTTGGACGCCGCGAGACCCCCTAGGAGCCTGGACTTCCTGGTAACCCAAGCTCCTACAGAGCTCGGACGCTGCTGGGCGCCCGTGGCAGGAGCCTGCCGGAGAGCGTGCAGCTTGAGCTCTGGCACGTGGCGCTGTGCTGCTCAAGAGCCACCTCTGAGCCCAGCATGGCAGCTGCAGGTGGTGAGCCACCTGCACCCGCAGGGCAGGAAGCCCCCAGGGGCCGGAAACGCCGGGCCCCATCCTGGACCCCCAGGGAGCTGGAGACCTTCCTGGACCTGTGGCAGGAGGAGGAGGGTCTCCATGACCTGCAGTCCTGCCGCCACAATGCAGACTTGTACACGCGGCTGGGACCAAAACC